GGGTGCTGGGCCGCGGCCTTGTCCGCGTCCTCAGGCTCCGCGCTGTGCTGTTGGGGGAGCGGGGGGTGCTGGGCTTGAGCCTTGTCCCCTCTGTAAAGCTGCGTTTTGTCCTGGTGAGGGAAGGAGTGGGTGCTGAGCAGGAGTGTCACTCTGTGCTCCCGGAGCCCCATCATGTTCTGCTGGGGGAGTGGTTGGTTGCTGGGCGAGGGCCTCCTGCTCCATCAAGGCCTCACGCTGCCCCAGTGACGGAAGGGCTGGGTGTTGGCCTAAACCCCTTCACAGGGCCTCATCCTGCACTGGGGTGTCTGCTAGGACTGTGGTCTTTCCTTTCTCTCTCAAGATCCTATCCTGCCCTGGAAAAGGAGTGACTGCTGGAGCTGTACTGAGTCTTAGTACCCAACCCTTCTGTCACTGGGTCCTTCCTAGGACCGTTCTGCTGTGGGCTGGGTGCTGGGCCTTTATGGTTTTCCTTAGAGAGGGCCAGTCTTGGGTGGCAGGACCCTCAGGGCCAGCTGTGCTCTTGTGGTTTTGGGTGTGCATGTGGTGCTGCTGGGCTGCTTTGGCAGGGGTGATGCCTCTGCCCCCATGAGAGGATGAGCCTAGGCTGGGTCCCTGCTTTGTTGTGTTGAGGTGGGTGGATGGGGGGCACTGGGAGCTGCCCCACGGTGGGTGCAGGAGACCCTTCCCTTTGGTCAGTGAAGGATGCTGTGCCCCAGAGCAGTGCAGTGCTGGGAAGGGCAGCCTGGCCAGCCCTTGCAGCTCTATTGAAGGATGATAATTTTTTTTCTATTCCACTGTTGCTGTTGACCCTCAGCAGCATGGGCCTGCACTGAGATGCTCCTTGCCTAAACAATGAGGAAGACAGCTCTATTGAAGGATGATAATTTTTTTTTTTTTTCTATGGCGCTGTTGACCCTCAGCAGCATGGGCCTGCACTGAGATGCTCCTTGCCTAAACAATGAGGAAGAAAGATGCATTTTGCAGGTCACTCCATGGCTGGTTATGCAATGGTAAATAACCTCTGAACTCAGGGTGCTGTGGATGTGTGTGAAGGCCCAATGTGTTTGAGAGCTTGCTTGCCCTTTCTCCCTGAAGATGCTTTCCTGGAAGAGTAACCCACATGTGAATTTTTGCCTCTTCTGGGGAGGTCCAGCCCACAGAAAAAGGGAAGACTTTACCAAAGGATTTCCAGATTCCTGGATAGTGAATCCAAATCTACAGGCAGTTGGTTGGGCTGTTCTGAGCCATGTCTTGCCCTGCCAGGGTTTCTGGGCCACAGGGTGACAACACCCACTGCCTCCAACCACAACACGAAGGGGAACAAGCTGCCTGGAAGTGGATTTTCCAGAGCTGTGCAGGGGCACATGTTCTCTGTTAGTGTGTGAGCTCAGGTCCTGTCATTCCTCCTGATGCTATTAGTGTATGTTAATAGTGCTGCCTATTAAACATTCTATCTAAAATGTATAAATTAACGTTGCAATAGAAGTCTTCAACTGGAGGCAAAGTGAAGAATTGAAGTATTGTAATCATAGGGCTGCAATTATGTAACTGGATTCTCTTTCTCTCTGGGTAGCAAGCTCCTTTAATTGCTCTAACAAAGCTACTCCTTCAGTTTTCTGGGACTGTTCCAGGAAGCAATCATTGCAGCAGATTTTCTTTACTCCCCAGTAGAGCTAAAAACGTGTAGTTTTCACTATTTCAAAACATGCTGGGTAGTATCACTCAAGACTTACAGCACTGTAGAAGGATTTAGGAAACTTAATGGTGCTCTGCAGGCTTAATTGGAGGCACTCCATGCCATTAAGAAGCTTATTCTCACAAAGTTTTAATATGCTCTGGTAAGAGCTGGGGCCAAGGTGAGCAGCTGGGGCTCTTCTCAGAGCAGACCTTTTCTTGACCAGTCCCCCAGATAACATGTGCCTCCTGACCAGGCCTCACATGTGGCTTGGGAGCCAGGGGCCTGGTTCCTGGAGAGCTGCTGGAGTGTGCCAGCCAGCAGCAGGACTGCCCAGGCCTCCTTCCCCAGGGTCTGTGTTGCAGCCTTTGTGGGGCTGAGATTGCCAAATCCCTGGGGTAATATGAATGGTACTAGAAACTTCCTGATGCTGAACATATCCCTGGAAAGGGCCATGTTGGATATAGGTGTAAACGGCTCCAGAAACTGGTACAAGGCACCTGAATTGATAGAGTGAAGGGGATTATGTGCTTAGCTCCAGTGTGCAGCTTTCTGGTTCCTGCAAGGTTGGGGCAGCACTAGCCTGCTGGTTTCTAGCTGATCTGTTGTGGTTCAGAGGTGGGAAGGAGAAAGGAGGTCAGTCCCTGCCAGGCCCTTGCTATGCCAGCTCTGTGGTGGGCCTTGCTGCAGCTTCTGACTTGTCAGACTGGCTTTGTCCCATGGGAACAGCTGAAGTCTGGGTTTCAGTGGCAAGGCAGGGGTGAGGTGAGGGAATGATGATAGGCTGAATGTGAAACAACACCCCTTCCAGGCAAAACTAGCTGCAATAAGTGTAACTTCTGGCATGGGGGGATAAAAGCAGTGCTGCTGTTAATGTACTTCCTAAGCCTCCCTGTCTGACACCAGCAGTCTGGGGTCCATGGTGTGCCAGGCTCTGAGCAGATGATGCTCCAAACCACTGGAGCACCTGGAAGGCAAACTTGGCTGTAGCCCATCAGTGTTTAGGAGGGCTGTGCTTCTCTGCAGATTCCGTCTCCTCCCACACAGTAAGCATTTCCCTCCAGACAGTGCCAGTTCTTCAGCTTTACAGGGCACCTTACTGTGGGAACACTGTAGGCTGCCCTGGTAACCTCACCCTGGCTGTGACTGGGGGGGTCTGTAGTATCGGCTTTTTTCGCGTGCCGGCCCCCACAAGGGGAACATTCCTGCCGTCTGTAGTATCGGCTTGTGACGCAGCCTGCCACAGAAGGGACAACCTCTGATGCACAGGAAGCTTCTCCTTTCCTGGGAAGAGATTTAAGGAATCTATGTTCTGCCTTAGGTTCACAATGTCTGACAGAAAGGCTGTGATCAAGAATGCGGACATGTCCGAGGACATGCAGCAGGATGCTGTAGACTGTGCTACACAGGCCATGGAGAAGTACAACATAGAAAAGGACATTGCAGCATATATAAAGAAGGTAACTATGGGATGAGGGGGGCTGCTCTGACTGAAACTTCCTGAAGTTCTTCAGTGTGTGTGCCTGTCATGAGCCTGAGTGTCTGTCCCAGACTTCATACTTGTGTGTTTGGAGGCAGAAGATGCTTTCTTCTTGGCTTCTTTACTGCTATTCCCAAGAGGATTCAGTGACTTCTACAAGGTCGGAAGAGGGTTCTGGCAGAGCAGGGCCTGGTGTGTTGCTCTGGCAAGCTCTGAGGAAGCAGCATGAGCACTGTCCCTCTGGGTTTGCCAGCCTAGAAAGCCCTGGCTGCAGTCTCTGCTTAGGCCTTGCTCCACCGAGGCTGCTGCTTGACTTGCTGTAGCAGCATGGGGTGAGATGACTCTGATGTTTCACTCGGTGGGTAGCTGTGCACGTGCAGTTCTGTCTGCTATGTTCCTGGCTCTGGGGTGGGTGGTGAGGAGGAGGATGGGGCCTGGTGCTGGCTGGCAGGGTTGTGGAAGGTGCTGCTTTAAAAACAGAGCAAGAAGCTGCCCTGGCTTGTGCAGAGGTGTTTCCCCATTTGCAGGGGCCTGTTGATTTAAACATCATGCATGATGGCAACTGGGGAGCTGTCAGCTTCCTCTGCAGCCACTTCTCCCAGTGGTCAGGTGCAGTGCTCTTGAAGGGGCAAAGGTCTGACTTAATTGGTAATGCAGCCCTGGCACCTGGGCTGGCTTTTGGGTCTTGCTTGTAATCTAAGCTTGAATGTAAAGGGTTCAAAGGTGTCTCCTAACATTTTGATCAGAGCCAAGACTGTTCTCAAAGTGCCTGTGGCAATGCAGCCTGTAAAGTGAGTGAGTGCAACAGAAGGCACCCAAAAAGATGATGGCCTTTATTTCCTGAGAGTGTGTTGGGAGGAGGGAAGTAATTTGATGCACCTTCGTGCCCTGGCATGAAAGCTTTTAGTTACTTCAAAGGTTACCTGCAAAAAGCTCAAACTGTCTTGCTGCTGTCTGAGCACTAATGCTTGCTTTAATCTTGAATGTTGAGTCTGCTCTTATGGCTCTGTCTCTGGGGAAGGAAGGGTGTTCTTGGGAGTTGTGTATTAATTAGAGAAGGATGCCAGCATTCAGCTTGCTCTCCTGTGACCTCTTAGGTCTCAGGTGCTGTTTGGCCTTTAGATTTCCCTGCTCATTTTCAATGCAGATTTTCTTCCCTTTATGTAGAGAGTCACAAACAGAAGTCAGATTTCTTCCTTTTTTGTGACCTTTAAGTTCAAATGCCTTGTTGGAGCAGACATGCCAAAAAACTTATTTTTTGTAAGTGGGCTTGGAATGGGGGAGGAGAAATATTCCCTGAGCTAGCCTACACACAGGGCTTGAATACCACAGTGCTGAAGAGAGCTCTAGTGCCTGCTCTTTCTGCCCAGAGCTGATGGGTACTCCAAGTCTCTGTAGATTATTTGTTTGTGTTGGATCCTGTGACCTCTTAGGTCTCAGGTGCTGTTTGGCCTTTAGATTTCCCTGCTCATTTTCAATGCAGATTTTCTTCCCTTTATGTAGAGAGTCACAAACAGAAGTCAGATTTCTTCCTTTTTTGTGACCTTTAAGTTCAAATGCCTTGTTGGAGCAGACATGCCAAAAAACTTATTTTTTGTAAGTGGGCTTGGAATGGGGGAGGAGAAATATTCCCTGAGCTAGCCTACACACAGGGCTTGAATACCACAGTGCTGAAGAGAGCTCTAGTGCCTGCTCTTTCTGCCCAGAGCTGATGGGTACTCCAAGTCTCTGTAGATTATTTGTTTGTGTTGGATCCTTCAAACAATCCAGTGCAGAGATCTGGTTGTGTCAGTCACTACCTTGCTTAGTGTAATAGTGTCTTGTAGTGGGGAATCTACAGATGCTGCAGGTGGGAGGAGAGGCTATAGTGTGTGAACAGAACCAGCTAAGAATTTGTGCTAAGAACTATTTTCATGTGGGCTTTCTTGGCCTTAATGCCTCTCTTCTCTTTCTTCAGGAATTTGACAAGAAATACAACCCAACTTGGCACTGCATTGTTGGCAGAAACTTTGGCAGCTATGTAACACACGAGACAAAGCACTTCATCTATTTTTACTTGGGTCAGGTTGCAATTCTGCTCTTCAAGTCTGGATAGGAAGTAGGAGCAAGTGAAATTTGGACTGTAATGCACTGATGGCTGAAGCCACGACTCCCTTTAACATGGCTATGCCGCTGCATGGACTGTATACTATATTTAATGTGTATATGTTGCAGTAAAAATCTACTTCTGTTTAGTTGCCTGGGAAGAAGGCGGCATTTTTTTGTTACTGCTTTTTTTTGGTTGTATTGCACTAGGAAACCTGTAAATGCTTAAACAATGGCCTTTACGTGGGAAGAAATAAAACTATTCCACAACAGCTCCCTCAGTGGTAACTCCTTCTTTGAGGATGCGAAAACTTCTTTGGGCAGGCCAAAAGACCCTGACTTCCTTTCTGGGTTTTATTAGACTGTTAATCTTGTAAAGAGGAGCAAAGCCAGTGTGAGCCTCTGTCCCCACCCTGCAGACTGTCGAGAGCTGGCTCTCCCAGGGTCCTCAGGGCAGGTGCTTAGACCTTCCCTGAGAGCTGGTGGGGTGGCTCTTGGTTACGTGGCTTTCACACACGAGTTGAACTCCACCTTGGACTGTGATAAACAGACTTGCAGCTGGCACCTTGGTGTTCTCTTTCAGTGTCCATCACTGTATTTTTGGCTCTGCTGAAACATTGACCTAGACTTGTAAGCAGCTCAGCCTGGTCTAGAAGACTTCTGCACACACACATCCCCGAGTTGCTGCAGAAAGCAGCATCCTGTGGCTGAAGTCTTTAGACCGTTGATGCTGAGATCTAAAGCCACATGGCCCATCCCCGCAATGGAGTAGGATATCAAATTGGTGACTGCTGACAACAGCTCTATTTGGCATGTTCTTAGCCAGTTGTCTCAACACTGCCTTAACTTGATGCTCTCTTTAAAGTAAGCTAGTCATGTGGAAGACTTGTAAGTGGCCACTGTCTCCTTTTATTTTTTTATTTTCTGTAGCTGATAAGCTATTTCTGGAGGACTGTCCTCCATGTTCTGATATCTGCTTTTGTTCTTAAAGCACAGTACCAAGAAGTTAAATTTCTGTGTGATGTTTGTGTGAAGGAAACTCATGTGACATCTGCTTCAAAGGCAGACAAATGTCTTGGTCTCAAATAGGTTCAGC